ATAATAATAATAATAATAATAATAATAATCTTTATTGTACACCTTAAAGTAATATAAACATATATGTAGAGTTACAATCAAGAATAGTAGGGCACAAAGGCGGCCTTATCACTAAAAGCGATCTCTACCAGGCAACCTTTGGGTGAATGGAGCACTGAATGATAGTGGAGGTGATTCTAGGCATACTCAGGTACTTACATCACATACCTATACATACACATACATACATACATACATACATACATACATACATACATACATATATACATACATACATACATACATACATACATACACACATACATGCATACATATACATACACACACATATACATAAGGATATGTAAATAAATAAAAATAAAATAAAATAATCTACCAGACGGATATTAAAATAAAATTTAGGAAACTAGGCTATTGATAAATTCGTCTTATATTAATCAATAAAGTTACCTTCTCAATAACATCTTATTAACGAACCAAACAAACAAACAAAAACAATAGCTACGTCCACTCTATTGTCCTTTTCACTTATTTACTTCAGCAGTATCGAAAAGAAACCTTTGTTTCTAAAAAATAAATCCAATCCATTTTAATTAGAACACAACAAACTACCAAATAATCATCAAAGCCTCAAAATCAAGCCTCCATGCCACCTGGAACCAAGTAAAGCTATTTGCCACACAATGCCATTGTACTGGCAACACTGGTGTAATCCGCCATGTTATCTTTAGCCAAAGACAATGGCAACTTTGACACACAAAAGATGGCAACTATTATTGTCCTTTCTTCACGTTTTGTGAGTAACATCAGTAGATATTGTCTTTTGGTAGGAAATTGATGAAGAACTATATTGTTGAGATTTTTTGTATTGAAGAAAATAATTGTATTCATCAATTATTATTTTTTCTTATATATTTTTAAAAATAAATTCGTAAGTATAATCTCGCGCATACGAAAATAACCCTAATACTATGAAAATAAGAGCCATATCAATGTCGCTGATATGTAAATAGTTGTGTTATTCATTAAACCCTATACAAATAATATGGCAACATACACCATCAGCTGACCCAGACTTTGCCCAAACTGACCCTAATAGAAAGAGAATATGAGTCAGCGAAAAGTATTTTCACTTATGAACTAGCAAACTAAATTCTTAGAATGATTGGAGATTTTTAAACAAACCTGAAATAGTATGAGACAGCAAAGATAGAAAGTGTTGCAAATATTTAAGTGTGGGAGAGCCATGTTTCGGCACGAATGGACCGGCTCGACCGGAGTGATACCACGGCTCCACACAAAATCGACGTGAAACAACGCTTGCGCTGTGTTTCGTTGTGTGAGTGAGGTTACCCACCTCTGCAATCCCCGAATCCCCAACATTCCTCAAATTTCTAATCACCAAAATACCGGTAACGCACTTGGTAACATATCTGGTGTTCCAGGTGTCGATGGGCGACGAAGATTGCTTACCATCAGGTGATCCGTCTGCTCGTTTACCGGCTACTATTACATACAAATAAAAAAAATATATACTTTTAAGTAGTGTAATAATAAGTTTGTTACAGAGTTTGATGAATTTGGGTTATAACAATATCTGGAGCCATTTCCAAATAGTTGTTAACCAATATTTTCTAAAGGGCATGTCAGTGAAACACAAACGTTCATTAAAATCAAATCTTATAGAATCCATAAAATTCTCTGTACATTAATCTCCTGGGGATATTTATGCTTTCTCACAATATTAACAGTCACTACACTAAATGAACCCAAAATCACTTCTAACACAAACTCACATAAACATTCCCATAATTTATTTATTTATTCAAATAAATAAATAAATTCGTGTACGAAATAAAACCTTTCTTCAATGTCACAATATATTACAGTTCTACTATAGAAACGTTCCATATAATTAATGGAATAATTAATATCATTCAGTCCGAACGTGATCTAAATACTACGAAAGACTTGTACAATAGTAGTCTACGCGCTACGCTGGTGCGTCTACGAGGCTACGTTGCTACGGCGTAGCGCTACGAAAAGAAATTCGGGCGTTAGCTAATAAGGACTATGATTTTTGTGATTATCAAGTGGCGCTAATGACGTGTAAATCGTAAGGTCCTGTTTGTCTAATCAGTGTCATAGTCATAAAAAATACGTTTAATATTTTCACACTAACACTACACTACACTGCCGGTTTTAAAGGCTTGTCATAATCCCTATACATGAAAAGATATGAAATCATAGTTTTATAAAACCCACCAACCGGTTCAATACCTACCAACGGCAAGTACCAACGTGACTTTTTCCGAGTGCTTTCTAAGCCTATCTAGACACCACTGACAAACGGTGAAGGAGAACATCGTGAGGAAACCTTGGCTTATATAATTTCTAATTATTAGTTTGTAATCACCAACTCGCATTGAGCAAGCGTGGTGATTGATGCTCAAACCTTCTTCGTATGAGAAGAGGCTTTGCTTAGCAGTGTGCATTTATAAGCTATTGAAGAAGAAGAAGTTTTAAAAATTAAGGTTTGTTTCTCGGTGTCTGTCAAATATGTAATCTCTTTCATAGTTCTATCGATACCCACGGAAAGAGTAGAGGTGGTGAATATATTGTACATACGCAGTTAAAAATTTAACACAAACAAATCTATTATTGGACCTGAGTTGTCACTAGCACCTCTAAAGGTGATTCATACGCGACAGTCCTCGACGTCGATATTTAATTAACAGTTTAATTCTTTTGTTATTCATTACCGTTCCAATTACGACTGTGTCATAATTACCTCGTGTTATTAATAACAGTGGAAAAAGTGTTATTGTTAATTTATAGTGTGGCTATTTAAAAAATAATAACTGCCTATTTGTATGCTATTGATTTGAATATACAATTCGTTTACACAAGTTCTGGTTAATAATTATTGGCTGGATTCTTTATTGAACTTAAGTGTATTGATTAGTGTTAAATTCTTATATAAATAGGATTATTCGATTATGATTGATATATAATAAATTATATTTATTTCTGCATATAGGTTACAATGTAACACTTTTACACGTCAAACTTTAAATTAATAGATGAGGGCCTTTCCTAACGGACTTGGATTTTCCTAACGGACAATTCTATGAATCACCGAAACAAACTCAATGGTTCATTCATTGATTGGAATACTTTACTTTAACAGTTTATTAAAAAAAAATTGTATCATGTTTACTTACAATCCGTGACAGTCTGCGACACTGCTGTACTGATGAGCCTTGTTCACATAATGAAGACCTGCATACTGCATGCACTTGATAAAATAGTTTATCATTTGATCAAATACCTTTATGATATCGCAGTTTGAAAGCTTATTGTTTATTTATTGTTTTTGCACAATGGTTATACAATGGCGGACTTAATGCCTAGTGGCATTCTCTGTTTATCAGAAACCGCGGATCTTTCAGTCGACACTTACGCGATACCCATGGGAAGAATAGGGATTACGACAGCATGTATTCCACTATGCCTATATTCTATAAGACTTTGTACACTCATAATTCGACCTGAAATCCAATCTAATTACGACATCAGACAGAATCCATCACTAACTTAACCAACTACTAACACTCACAACACAAACGAGTATTCTGACATAAGTTTTAAATCTAATTCCTAGATCTAGTGCTTATCTAGGACAATCTAGTGTAACAATATTACTAGGAGACGAAGCAAGTTTGTGTATGTCGACGTTCTAGGATTAATGGCGATCCTGAGTTAACCCCTTAACTTGTGAATTAGTCGTGTGTGGACTAAGGATAAGGTTATCATTGGTTATTGATTGATAAAAGTGCTGATAGCCTGATAGGTATTGGTCGAAATTGACGAGCCCTCGTTTTTATTGGCTAGAGTAAGAATATTGTAAATTTTGTTTTGGAATTTGATATAAAATTCTTGTATCGATGTTTGCTAGCTTAGTTGTTGAATACGAGGTCCTATGTCACAATTACTTTAATGGCATGTCTGGAATAGTAACTTATGTTCCCTTGCGTTTTGATTTGTATATTAGTTTTTTAGTATCAATGAAATTCAAGTTTGATGAATTTTTAATTGAACATTTGTTCTTTTTTACTATGAATGGTCTGGACAAGGCTTTCATTTATTTTCCCATCACACATAGTTCAACATTTAGGTCATTTGACAGTAACGTTACCACGCACCGAGCTCATGGACTAATCAGACCTTCGCTTGTTCCAGGTTAATGTGCCACGAGACGAGTGAGAGAGACAAACCATCCCAACACTCCCTTTAAAACGCCTTATATGGAGCGGGACGGGTATACCACGCGTGCTCCGCCGCGTATCAAAACACACAAAAACCGCGGATGTAGGTAATAGCACGGGAGCTGAATAGCCTTTTAATTATTTAAAAATAACACAACAAAAAACTAAAAAAAAAAACACTAAGCCAAATTGTAACGTTCAGCCGATTTTTTGAATTACGAACGCCTAAATCCGATCAGACTTTAACGCCTAACCTTCTTGGACATCTTGGGTGCTTAAAATGGACTTGCCTTACTTTAATTTGACGATGTGTTTGACTGTATAGTGGGGGGTGGCGTGGCTAGTTTAGTTATTAGTTTAATATAAAGTACATAAAGCCGGTGGGGACGGTGTGTGGGTGTGATACCGAGGTGTCGGAGGCTTGTGTGATGCAGCGGCGGCCGAGGCGGCGCGATTGTCGGCTACCTGAGAAGCAGCCTTGTACGCTCGTCTGACGAATCTGTAAAGGTAAGTCCTGCATGTAAACTATAACTTATTTCCTAATACTATAGTTACCTAATTAATTTCAAATCTTGTCTAAATTATGTTACCAAAACTCTGATTAAGGCCCTTCACACACGAATCACAACCACAGTATGACGTTCAATTACAATCTCACCTTATATTCGTTTTAAAACGTTACGTCGTGTGCAAAGGTCCTAAAAACCTTGCTAAAAGTAATAGAAAACATTAATATTTCAGGCACACTTTATTCAGATTTTTAAAACATCTATCTAGTTACATTATATAACTTTTTACGTAAAGCATTCTATTCCATAGTCAAATATAAAAAAGAGTTTAGAAAACTAATACTGGTATAAACAAAAAGTTACTGTAATCAGCCTATGTAGAACCGAGCCTGAGTAACAAGCCGTGTCGGCTGTCAAACTAGCTAAAAGCCTAGCAAAACGCGACCTCAATTGTTACCTTATTAAAATTCTTCTAACATTTTCTTTGAAAACTATTCTGTGACGTCATTCTTTACGCATTGTGTTAAGAATACATGGAGGAATGACCTTTTATTTATGGGTGTATTAAGTATGTGTGACGGCAGGGCACACACATTTGTGACCTCTAGGATTCGACTTAGGGACTACATGACAGGACCAAGCAACAGGACCTTTGATTATCATTGAGGGACGATTTTTTAATCAACAGATAATTCTTACTGTAGAATAAAATTGGTATTTGACAGTTTTTAATATGGAACATGGAAGTACCTAATCAAATATTCAAAGTTTTTTTTTCTTCTTTGGCAACCGAGTCTCTATTCAAAGTTATTCCTCTGATAAAATTTAAATGGCGTTAGAGAAATCGGCCTTTAGTGTTTGATATATCCTAAAGTAACGTGTTTGAAACAAGTGCTGAGTCTGGATTTCGATAGCCCAAAATTCCTTTAGCTCAATTTGGTCCAATAGAAGAATAAACTTGCAGTTTACTGTCAATCTAATATACAAAGTTTTAAGCTATATCACCACGGCACAACTCCACTTAGGACGACAGTTACCAATAAAAATGTAGGTCAGATATTGTGCTAAATCCTCGAGAGGTCATGATAAAGTTCACGTGGCCAAAGTCGGGAAAGCGATAAATGATATTTAAATAAATTCACCTTATTGAGGTCGGTATTTGCAAGCCATAGGGTCTTGTTTTTATTGTTTTGTATTTTTATTTGTTTTGGGCGTAGCTTATGACGTTAAGGCTTTTAAAGTGAATAATCAAAAGTGGGTATACAGTCTTAAATGAAAAAAAACATTAGTACTTACACTGCTTCGTTGCTCGTCGTTTGTGTTCATAAGCTTGCCTGTAAAGCAAATATCTTGGATTTATTCCTGGCCTTAGACAATCTCGGAAAGAAGTTTTCGAAAATTTTGAAAACCATTTGAAATACTAGCTGATAGTAATCGAAGTTTTGAAAACATGGACGTTCACGTTATGTAATAGTATTTATTTATGATGCTACATTTGTGCTGTATAATGGCTTAAAAACTAGTAATGCCTGCTTAATAGCACGCAGTTTTGAATGAGTTTCGATCCATTACATGACAATAATAGGGTAGATGACATTTTTTTTTTATTTTAATGTCCATCTGGTAGATTATTGAAAAACATAACCCTTGTTGTTTTTTTTATTTTCTTACGGAAACGAATAGTTTCGACGTTATATTGATTTGAAATATCGCATGACGTCACTTTTGAGTACCTACGATTTATACTCTAAAATAACGTAGCTACCTCCCACTCCTAAACTTTGATTCGTTTTATCTAAGTATTGTTTTCTTATAAATCAAAATAAAAAAATACGTGTCTATTATTTTTTTATTATCTATCTGACGGACTAATTAGATTTTTAATTTTCATACCCTGTCATCTTCCCTATTGCGTCTATTTCTACATGAGCACTCACTCACAACAAGTAAAAACTGTGTTACATTCAATACGTGCTCTGCTTACCACCTTCTTACTAAAGGCTAGTTATTATGAATACATCAGCGCGTCCTTCCCCACAATTATAGCGAATAACAACGATATTAATATTGCAATTTTATTGTCCTATTTTATGCCTGTTCTATATTTGCTGGGTTATGACGTCATAGCAAAGGCGTGACGTAATGTAGGTTGAATGTATGTAAGTCTGGAATTAAACTGTTTGCTGGTTGCCGATGTCTTTCCTTTATTGTTTTCAGTCGTTTTGTATTTTGTGTTTTATTATTTTTTGTGTATTTTTTTTTACCTCCAGGTGAGATGGTAACCAAATATCAACATATCAAGATTAAAAAACAATTATAAACATAAGGTACAATTCCTCAATAGGTGTATTTTATTAAAATGATATCTAACAGTAACACTTTTCAGTTGTTATAAATCGTTTTTAATATATTAAGGAGGTGAATCTATTGCTGTAAGCGGCAATTCTTCCAGACTTACGTCCTGTTATTAAGTTTAAAAATCATATTTTGATAACTTATTCTTCCATCGATAATAACCTTTTCGACTCATCCGGGAATCAAAACCTGAAAGCTCTCACCCTCGACCAATGAACCAGTTAAATTACTTACATACTCATTATCAAAATTGGATAAATAACATTTACTTTAATATACTTCGACAAATCAAAGACTTTTTCCTCTATACGTAAAAACAGAAATAGAATGAAATCGATCCGTCTCTGTCACTCTTGACCCGGCATTATTTGACAAAAAGTGACAAATATACTTTTGTCTATACGAGGTCGAGGCCAGGCCACTATCAATCGTAAGTGTCTATTGTTTGTATTAAGTATATCCTAATACGATTCTGTCCTTTTTCAAAATTGGGTACTTGCCAAGGTAACTAGTCAAATTCAATATTTTTTTTGAACTGTCAAAAACGACAGTTTTCTATGCATTTTGAATGAACGAGATTGTGTATTGTAACGTCACGTTTTTTTTTTCGGTCATTAAAATCTAAAAAAAAATAATGACAGTGTGATTATTTTTTTATATTTTATTGTATTGAACAGTCGAAATAATTTATTTTTGATTGAGGAAAGTACCCAATTTGTTTTTCTAACATTTTTATTTTGTGCTGTAGAGAGTAATGTCGATATGTAATTGCCACTGTAAAGCATTAGGATCTAATATGCTCCCGCTATAAAACACATTATACCTGCAACTTTCAACAGACGACGTTAACTAAAAATCGCGAGTTACTCACGTGAATATACTGATAAATGCTCTACTAGTTTCGAACCACAGACGGGTTCTTCCTCATGAGTTTCCTTAGTTCTTTATAAAATTATTCGTGATAAATGAGTGCTAATCCCTACTTGTGTATCTCTGCCTATCCCTTTGAGAATTAAAAAACCCTGATAATGATAACATCCACCATATAACAGAGCGCAAATGCACAATGTACACAGGAAAATAAAGTACATAACTGTAATATATGGTGCAAATAATAACACAGGTACAATTGAAACATTATCACTTGGCTACAAAAGCAGACTGAATACTTAATACAAATACCTACGACCGTCTAAGGTTGTAAGGTATACATCGCTTGAAGCGCCACAAATTGCTAGTTCGATATAAAGTGGCTTGTAATTAAAGGTGCAAAATTAACATGTGACTTGTGGGATGTTCCGATATTGTGCCATGAGAAATGTGCTACATATACCACCTGCATGTTACGGTACACAAAATGGTGTAAATTGCTTTTTTATAATTAACACTGGTTCGTTCAGCTTTTTTTTTCAATGGGGGTGCGTTTACGAAGACAGAAATAAATATTTTTATCAGATAATTGCTTAATTTTTAGATGTGTAAGTAGTATTCATAACTGTATTTATTTGTGAATTAAAGTTATTAAAAAGCATATACCTAAGTAAGTTAGGTAGTTATAAAACCAGTTAGGCATAAAATATCATCATTTACTATGACTAAGTAGGTGCTTATTTACCCAGGTGTAATTTTAGTCCTTGTCAAAAGTAGTTCATTCTTTCCAATTATTATGTTACCGTTTGTTAGACACAAATGGGTCAAATTATACAATGTATATGCCTGCCGCGTCCCATGGGAGCCGTAACAACATAAATAGCCGGCTCTTCCAGACTTAGAACAAAATGTGCGTTGAAATTTTATTAAAGTACCTACCTTCCTACAAAGGTAATGTACGTGTGTGAATGCCTATTTCCTACATGAATGTAGAAAGGATCTAGTAACACTTTGGAAGTTGTTCGTCTTATGACCATTAGCAATATAGGTAGGTACCGCCCTACACTCCACTTCATAAATCAACTCGCTTACAAAAGTACTTACACTGCTAGAAAATAGCCTAGTCAGGTTATTGACCGCCAACTAAAAGGTCAAAGGTTCATTCTACTCCCAATAAACTGAACTAAATGTTAAAACAACATTACAGACGAACTCAATACTTAGCAATACTTTATCCATATTTTATAAATATTTTTCTACTTAGGGTGGTACTGCACAGCGCCTTAACTTTTCCGCTTAGCAACAATACACAGAGCTCCGTATTCATAGGATCAAAATTAACCCGTGCGTGCAAACGACATAAACAAACGTGGCTGGTCGTAAAGACCGAATGATGACTTACAGAGAACTGAAATAAAGTTGAGCTTTGAGTTGTAAATCAATACACTGTCAAACAATAACTGGTCGTAGTGTATGGAATCGCAGATACGCCGCGTAAGTTTTATCGAAACAAGTCCCTGTGGAGTGTGATGAAAAATTACAAGTGAGCTCTTGGAAACAGGAAAATTATGAAAAGAAAACTCTAAATGTCAATTTCATGCTGTTAATCTATATAAATAAAAATGTATTTTGATGCGGGTTTGTGTTAATTTACAATAATTACAGATTATTTTTGATAATCTCTTTTCCTACTTACGTCCGCAGTAGATAAGTATGTGATATGTGAAGTAAGATATGAACGTATCTTTATAAATCAATCGATATTATGTTCTA